GGGGATTCGAAGTAATTATACAGCAGTCTGACTTCCTTTCAATCACCTGGTCAGAGTACTAGCGGACGGTGGGGGAGAGTGCCCATCCACACGCCTTGGTCACTCTCTGGGGCCGAAACTGACACTGGCCTCCGTGCCCCAAGTGGCCTCTGCACCTGGAGGTTCCTCCTTCCCCAGTCAATGCCTCTGCAGAGGCTTCCAGACGGGACAGCGAAGAGGGCCCGGGGTGCTGGGGGAGCCCACTAACCTGGGGTGCAAAGCTGCAGGTCCTCTCCTGGCGACTCAGGTGTGCGCAGCTCGTGTGTCCCTCCCACTTCGGGACATGAGAGCTGAGAATGGAGCTTCAGGCTACAGACCCACCGACCGACTGGACCAACCAACCAGAGGACCGACCGGCAGCGGCAGGGTTGGCGCCCACGTGACTGGGGCGGGGACCCGCGGAGGCTTGTCCCGGGGCGTCTCTTCCTCCACCCCTGGGTCCTCCCCCCTGGGACCGCCCTTCTATCCTCCTCCTCCCCCTCAGGGCCGGACACCTCTCGGGGGAAACGGCCAGCGCAGGGTTCTCGCGTCCAGGACCTGCCCTTTCAGCCCCGCCCCCTCGACCGCTGTCGGAGTCCCGGGTAAGCCCCGCCTCTCTCCTGCAGGCCACACCCCTTCGCTCGGAACCGGGGGCTCCTCGCGGTGCAGCCGCTTCCGCACCCTTCCGGCCGCAGGGAGGCTGCTGGGCAGTTTTGCAGGCTCCTGTTTCTAGACCCTGCTCTTCCTCAGTCTTGTTCCCAGGATGCAGGCGATGAAGAACCAGAAGAGGAACTTGTGTCAAGAAATGGCCTTGACGGAGACACCAGAGAAAACCTGGACTAGAGGTGCGCCTCTCAGGATTCCAGACCTCCTCACCTAGCCAAGACAGCGGATTGTCTAAGGCTAGCCTGGGGCCAACCTCATTCCTTCCTTTCTGAGCATGACAGGTTGGGCGGCTCTGGGTCTCTCTAGGACCCCTACTGCGCTGGACTCCTGTGTCGTGGGGTAGAGGTTCCCCCTAGTGGTCGGTGCCAGCCAGAGCCACTGGTGTCCAGAAGGGTCAACAGCTGACAACAGGTGCTTCCCTCTACCCTCTGGGATGTCGTGTCGGCCCAAGAAAAGCCTTAGCACAGTTTGACAGGAATGGATTCGGGAAAATAAGGCAGAACTGAGCCCTGGCGATCTATTCCAGCGCCTACCCATGCCTGTGGCCTGAAATCCCTTAGATTGCAATAGCTTGGACCTCTAGGGATTGGCTTCTCAGTGCAGCTGATTAAAATCCACCAGGGACTCTGGCACGGACTTCAGCACTGGCAGGAGTCACCACAGGCCTGGGCTCTGTGGGCTGGAGTGTTCGTGAACTCCAAAGAACACATCTTTTTTTCAAACCAAGTAGACTCATCTGGTCTGAAATTACCTGTGTGTTCAGAAGACTTACCCATTTGAACAGACCTTAAACTACCATGGCAAATATGGGACGTATAGTCACTAAAGGAACCTTGGCAGTTGCAGACCCAAGGCAAAGCCAGCAGAAGAAGGCTGGGGCCTGCAAGAGTTGTGTTACAACAGGACACCCTTCAGTTCTCTTCACTTCCTTAAAATAGCTTCAGAGAGGCTTTTGTGGACCAGGACTGCTCCAGTTCACACAAGTTCAGCAATGTTTCAAAACTTACATGTGTGTGGCCTAGTAGACCAGTTCCACTCACCAGAACCCCCAGAAAACATTAGCCTACCTTTAGAACTATAACAATTAGTTAAGCACAACAATAAAAATGTATAGCACTGGTTCTTAGGCTTTCCTGCATTTGGAGCCACCTGAGAGTGGGAGAGGATTAAAAAATACTGATGTCTGGGTCTCACCATTGTTGTGTGATTTAAGTCAGACCAGACTCACAGATGACCCTCCAGTGGATTTTCAGAGGCTATAAATCCCATGAGAGGAGCACACTCATCTTTCTTCCGTGAATTCGAACTGAGTCTTTGGGTTGGGAGTGCAACTCCTTACCACTAAGCCACCAGAGCTCCTTGGGTTCCACCACAGGTGAATGTAGTGGTCTGGGGTCAGGATTTGTCAAGTCTCCCTAAGTGATTCTTACTTGTAGGCCATGGTACTTCCATCTTCCAAAAAATGCAACAAAGACACCAGAACTTAGATATTCAGCTGAAAGGAGCTGAAGAAGACACCAGAGGCCAATATGCTATCCCTTCCTGCTTTGGCTACCAGGAAATGTTACAATGACAAGAGCTCCCTGGGGAAAATATCTTCAGGGAACTCTGGTGGCCTAGTGGCAAGAAGCTGTGTTACAATCCCGAAGGTGTGCAGTTCAAATCCACCAGATGCTCCTCTGGAGAAGAAGGGTCAACCTTCTCCAGTGCCCATCGGATCCGATTTGACAGTACACAAGATTTTAAAAAGAGAGAGAAATTTCTTCATCTGTATGTTGATGTTGTTGTGTGCTGTTGAGTAGCCTGCAACCCATAGTGACCCTATGGACAGCAGTTCTGAACTCTGCCCTGTCCTGAGTCAGTCTCACTAATTCCAACACACCAACCCCCACTGCCCCAATCACCGTATCAATTCATCTCATCTGGGGTCTTCCTCTCCTGCACTGTCCCTCCACCCTTCCAAGCATGATGTCCCTTTCCAATGATCAGTCTCTCCTGGCCATGTGTTCAAAGTATGTGAGACAGAGCTTCAAAATTCTAGCCTCCAAGGAGAGACTTGGTTTCACCCTCTCCAAGACAGATCTTTGTTTTCTTGGCAGTCCATGACTTCTCCAGCACCACAATTTGAAGGTAAAGATTCTTTTTCTGTCATCCTTAGTCACTGTCCAGCTCTCTGATGCATAGCAAGTAATTGTGAAGGTCATGGCCTGGATTAGGTGCACCTTAGTATGTTGTTGTTGTTTGATGCGTTCGAGTCATAGAAGACTCATAGCGACCCTATGAACAAACGGCCTGAGCACTGTTCGTACATAGAGTTTCCAGAGGCACCTTAGTATAGGTGCAGGAATTTAAAGCCTCAAGGTAGGATACTAGGGGCAGGTGTGCTCTACTGAGCTGTCAAATCAAAGCTTATTACAGTATACCTGCACCTCTGTGCCTGCAGAGAAAGTGTATGCTTGCTAATAATGTCCCGTTGTCCTCATTTATGACACACAACATTCTTCATTCCTATGAAATAGGTAGTGTCATTTTGCCCCTGGGGCAGACAATGTCCCTGAACCCATGCAGTGGGTAAATGTCATATTTGTTTATTCACATGTACCTCATTCTACAAAGAATTTGAGTTCTTTCTATCACATTATTAGGGAACTCTAGGGGTGCAGTCATTAAGCACTGAACCGCTAATGCAAACTCTGTCAATTAAAATATACAAGGTGTTCTTTAAGAGAAAGATGTAACAGTATGCTTTCATATACATCTACAGTCTCAGAAATATATGAGGCACAGCTACTACCAGTCAAATTGTTCTGTTTGTATTTATTTTTGTTTTGATGGGTTATTAGAACTGTGCATAATTGTGCTATAGCCACAGGGTAGGTAATTCTATCCCACCAAAGATCTACTCAAATGCTATGGGGAAGGGGGGGGGGTGGAATATCCCTCCTTTCACCACCTATGATTCCAGCCTGAGTCTGGGCACAACCAGAAAACAGCTGCAAACGTACAAAGCCAGCCCTATCATGTGACCAACCTGGAAACACAGAGGCCTCAGCACATGACATGGCCTGGCACCACAGCCTGCACTTGTGACTCCAACTCAGATGGACTGGATAAATTCATGGGAAACATTTGTTAAAAGTCCTTCTTGAGAGGTCCAGCTGTCCTCTGCTTCTGTGCCACATGGCATGTCTGCTGGGACAAGGAGCTTGCTTGCCTGGTAACTGGCACTCATCTAATTGGAGAATTGTTGCCAGGGCTTCAGTGTGTTGGGGATTGCTCACAGACAGCACTCCCTGAAACCTTTCTTGCCAAGGGTATGTAGGCATACACAACCTTATGAAGTTTATTTGATTAGTATCATCTTTGTTGTATTTCAGGTAAAAAGGGGACTAAAAGACAGGTGAAGCTAAACGGTAGGGTCTTACCCCTTAGGCTGGTCATCTGGAGGAAAGTGGATTTTTTTTACTCACTAAAGGATTGTGTAGACATGAAAAATGACTAAAGGAGTAGGCTATTAATTTTTAGGTTAAAATAATGAATAAACTGTTGTAAAAGTCTGGAGAGAACAAACATGTGTTTGAGGGTAGTGGGGAGATTGGATTTACAGTATTTTCTAGCTTTCTTTCATTTTATGTTACCTTGAATGACTTGTCTACGCTCTAATCTTTAAAATAGTATTTATAAAAAAATAAGAAGAAAAAAAATTGTAAGACTTTTTCTGCATATCTCCCAAGATTTAAATGAGGATTAAATGCTATGACATATATGTGAATACTTTGTAACTGGAGGGTGATATTCAAATGTTAATGCTCAATTTATTATTATATCAACCTGGTTCAGGCAAGGGAGAAATGGAAATTAAACATCAGTGAGACATAGTGCTTTAATTGGGCAATGAAAAACTATCAGAATTTGAGAAAGAGATAAAAGTTTGAGTGAACAGATGAGCAGAGAAAAAAAAATTCATGCACACTGAGGGGGTGGCATACAGTTGTAATTGCTCTAGAGAGAGGTAAAAGTGCTGGAAAGCAGTAGAAGATAAGACTCGAAGCAAGGAGCATCAGAATGTCGTGGGCCTGGAAATTAGAAGGTTAAATGGATAATAGAAGACGTTGAACATTTTTTAATGATAGGTTCTCAAAAAAGCTCTTGGAAGATACTTAAACAGTGGCATCTAGGAAATGACGACAATTCCTCTTTTAGACCCTATTTCTGCCTGTCTTTAGAAGGATGCTATGTTGCACGGGGACTAAAAGCTCTCTGTCCCAGGGAAAAGCTTCTAAGGGTACAATGATCTCCTTCCCACCCAGCATGATTCACTCCACATCCACTTTTCTCTTTGTCTGGATTTTATAAATGATCTGGTTGCCATCATTCCAGGCGTAAAGCTGCCTATCTCTAGGGTTGTAATGGATCATGGAGTGACTTCTCTGCCTCCTGGGGAAGAACAAGTTGGGCAGATGCTCCTCACTGACAGTGCCCAGTGGATCATAGACACAGGTGATGCGATGGGGCCCATGGCCACTAGAACTGTAGACCACGTAGAGAACCCCACACAAGAGGAATGAAGCTTCAGCTTCCTGACTTCTGCAGGGAGTGTCCCAGGAATGCTCAATTACCAGTGAACCAGGCTCAATTTTTGTGAGGACCAAATGGCCATGGATACCTGGCCCTGCGTGGATGGCCCAGAGCCCATGCTCATCCACAGCCAAGTCAATGTAAGTCGAAGGGGAGTGCTGGTAGGCCAGTGATCTGCCTGCCCCTCCTGGGAGCCGCATTCGACTTTCCACAGTCCTCTTCTGTAGATTATACTTGATTATCTCATTGGGAGTCCCTTGGTTGTGGAAAAACAGGAAACCTTTGTAGATCACTTGACCTGTTCCCTGCCAGGAAAGTGTTAGGATTAGTTTGCGAGGGGCAGGTTTGATGCTATCCTCCATAAATGCTCGTATGTTTGCAAATTCCCAAACAGTGTTGTTTTTGGATCCCATTAAGAGGTAAACTTTTGGAGAGTCACTGACAGCATCTTTCATCCAAGAACCATCTATATCTAGAGTCTTCTTCACTATTTTCAGAGATTTTATGCCCATCAACATGTTGTCACAACCTGGTCAAACAGGAGAAAAAGAGAAAAGTTACTTTATATATTTGAGGTGTTGGCTATCTGGCAAAGTTCACCATGCTTGGTAAGTAAATCTTCGTTTTTTTCTAGCTCTAATATCAATCAGAATGAAATGCTTTCAATTTTGCTGTAAAATGATAGCCTTTAAAAGAATAATTTTCTTCTAAAAGTCTTAGAGCAGTTCCTTAAAATTAATAAAATAAAATTCAAAAAATTTCTTAGAGCAAAATATAGAACATAAGCATACATTGCATTAATTTTCTTGATATAAAGGACATTTAAATTACAGCAAAAAGTCAAGATCATTTTTTCCAACTCCTTATTATCTCAGATTTCCCCACCACCACTTTGTCTAGAATAGAATCATATATAGCTGATGATCAGTTATAATTTATAGTTCTATTGAGTGAACCAATGAAAAAGTAAATAAATAAATAGGTGTCTGTGAAGAGAGTTGAGTCTAGTTATAAGGGTCTGTCTTTTATTTACGTTATTTTCTGTACTAGAATTATTAGGAAATAATGAACAGTTATTTTCTGTACCAGAAACGCTGTTCACTCTAGTATACTTGGTCCTGATAAAGTGAGAATGACTTAAGTGTGGATGCACTTAATTAAATATAATTTACCAAGATTATGTTGGATATCTATTGTGTACTGAGCTCTCTGTGCTCCTGGAACAGTTTTAAGTATTGGGAATAAAAAAAAATACATTAACCTTAAACCTTGAGCAGCTCATCTGAAATATAACTTCCCCACCTTGACCCTGACCCCACAGCAATAGTCTTTCCATTCATACTGGATCACTCGCCTCAGCAAACAAACACGTTATAAAATCACCCCTCTTGGAGTAACTTTCCAATATGGCCCTATTTCTATTCCTCTTTATAATAAAACTCCTATAAAGAAGAATTTCTTCACCTCCAGTTATACCTTCAACCACTCTAACCAGGCTTCAGTCTTTAACTAGTTCAAACTTCTCTGTCCACTCCACAAGATTAGTTCTTATAAAGACCATGAGCAGTCTCTACGTTGCTGTACCAGAATTTGACTACTTGATCACTACTTCACCTTGAAATTTTTTGCACTCCCACATTTCTGGAATTCATCCCCACTCCACCTGCCCCCAGCCCTTAACATCCTTACTACAAGTCTCTTGACTCTTGCTCTCCTAAAGTATTTATCAATACAGTATCACAAATGATCTGTTTAAAAACATAAATACTACTAACTTACATGTTAAACTTTTCTTTCTATCATACTCAGAACAAAATCTTAACCCTTTAAAGTCTAAGGCCCTATACACGTTATTGGCCTCTGCCTGTATCAGTGGCTTTTTCCTTGACCCTTCTTCTCCTTGTCTATTCATTGTATTGTGGTTATTACATTGACTTTCTTGGTATTCTGTGAGCATGTCCTACTTTTCCGCACTTGCAATTATTTCTTCAGGGAGTTCTCTTCCTTGATCACAGTTGATTACTCCTCCTCCTTCATGTCTTAATTTCAATGTCAATTTACGAGGCTTTTCTGACCACTCTAAATACGTCCACTCTAAAATGTCCCCCTTAGTTACCTAGTACTGGTATAACAGAGATCCTAAAAGGAAATCGTTTGAACAAATTTATTCTCTTTAGAAGATTAGAAATTCAAATTTAGAGTGTCAGATCTATTCAAAGGCCTTTTCTCTTGGTCAGTCCTATAGGAAAGTCTTGGTCTGCTCCAGTATCTATAAACCATTCATTCCTTGTGTCTTGAATCTTGACCTTCTTTGGTGTCTTAACCTTCCTAAGGAGGGGCCCTGAGTTCAAAATGATATATTCTACTCCTGGAGATTCTGAGTACTCTCTCTCAGTTTCCCTTCCTTTTTTGTCTTCTCTTTTTTCTCTTGTAAGAGAAGAGATGTTATAGGCCCCAACCCTGAGAAACTAGTGATGGGATTAAGGGTTGAGAAGCTCCACCTCTTATCCTTTTACAACTATTTGGTTTTTCAGATGAAGATCATTATATAGATTCCACATTATATCATTATGTGCCATCAAATCCCATGAAACTCACAGCAACCCTATGCTCTGAAGCCTGCCCTATCCTGAGTCAGTCTCATGGAGTGTCCAAGCTGAGTCAGTCAGAATAATGCCTTCAGTCAACTTTGGTGTGAATGTGCACATATGTGTATTGTACGAAGAGGTAGAAAATATACCTTCAGTCAATCCGGATGGCATAGGGGGTATGTGCACGCGTGTGCGTGTATGCATGCGTGCGTGCGTGAGTGTGTGTGTGTGTGTGTGTGTGTGTGTGTGTGTGTGTGTTTGTTTTGTATGTTGAAAGAGGTAGAGCCATGGATTTCTGGCACTCAGGAGCAGAGAGATGATATCTACCCTGACCTGACACTCCCTGGACTGTCTATCCCTTTGCAGGGAGGAAAGTCAGCTTGCTTATAACCTACTTGCATAGACCTGTATCTAAGAACAAGGCACATTCACAACTCCCCCATTGTTGTCATTGTTGTAAGGTGCTATTGAGGACTCAGAGTAAACAACACATTGTGTTGAGGACTCATTGTAAACAACACAGCTGAAAGAACTCTGTTCTACTCTGTGCCATCTTCACACTTCCTGGCACACTAGATCCCATTGTGGCAGCCATCGTGTCAGTCCATCTGGTTGGAGGATTCCTCTCCTTTGCCAGCCCTCCACCTTTCCAAGTGTTATGTCCCTCTCCAAGGAACAGCCCCTCCTAGCAATATGCCCAAAGGGTGTGAGGTGAGGCCTCATCATTCTTGCCTCCAAAGCACACTCAGGCTACACCCTCTCCAAGACATCTTTGTTGTTCTTTTGGCTGTCCATGGGATGTGCATGCTCTTCTCCAGCACCACAGCTCAAAGGCGTCAATTCTTCTGTCATCTTTATTCACTGTCCAGCTCTCAGATCTGGACCTCTGAGGGATGCAGAATTCTTGAAATAACAAATCCAGGGAGTGCTGACACATTATTTTCTTCAGGGAAATGTAATTCAGTGAAAAAAATAAATTTTCCCTATGTCCCGCCTACTTTGTCTACCCCTTATATGATAGACGAAACCTAGGATAAAGAGTCAGAGACCCTACAAGTCTGAATTCAGTTTCTGATTCTCTGAGTATGCTCCTAAAAGTCCCTTTGTCACTCTGGCCTACTTTGTAACATAAGGGGTATAGAGTGGATGCTTTGTATATGCTGTTTTCAGGGCTGATACCTTGCAATTCTTATACATTTTCTCACTAAAAAGTTATGAAATTTTAGGAGAATGCATTTCCAGTATTTGAATAAAAGGATAAAATTAAATGCGTGCTGTACTTGGGAAAAGATAGTTAGCAGTAAGAAAAGGTTGAAGACTAGAAAATAAATGTAAAACCTTTGGGTGCAGACAAGATGCAAATTATTAAACAGAGACAATACATGCAAGGTTTCACCAGAGAGTGAAAATATGTAGACTCCCCCACAGGCAGAACTGCAGATACAATTAGGATAGAATTTGGCCTTAGGCCTCACAGTGAATTTACACACAAGGATCACCATTTTGAATTTTTAAAATATTACTCCCCCCACTCCTTTATTTAATAGCAACACTCTTCAGACCTGGGGAGATTTCCCCTACCCACTTCCCACCCCCACCTCTTGAAGAGAGTTATGTTTTACAAACACCAACCTAACTGCTATAAGAAAATGGATAAATTATGTATATTGTATTGAAACAGATGAGGGAAAGAACAGATTAGAAGTGATATATGATTGAGTATAATGGTTAGCACAGGAATCCAGAATTAAGGTTGCATAGAGAAGTATACTCGGGGTGGGGGGTGGGGGGAAGGAGACGTGGGAATTGTATACTAATGAAGGAATTTTTTTTTATTTTTTTTTTCTCTTCGGAGGGGGACGCAAGCTGGTGGGGAGGGGTGGGCAGGGAGAAAAGTGCGGCAATGAATGAATGGGAATCCAAAACCTCTGTAAATGTCTATTAAATAATGATTAAAAAAGAAAAGAAAATGAACTGGGGGAGGGGCAGGGCAAAAGAAGAGAAAAAAAAAAGACTACTTGAGATGAGAGATACTGCTGTTCTTAGGTGTGACTGAGTCACCTCCAACTCATAGAGATCCCATTTACAACAGACAGAAAGAAACCCTGCCTGATCTTGTGCCATCCCCACAATCACCATTGTGCTTAAACACGTTGTTGCTATCACTGTGTCAACTCATCTTGTTAAAAGTCTTCCTCTCCTTCACTGACCCTCCACTTTTTTCAAGTGGAAGTTTTTCTGCTTGGAATATTGCCATTTTCTGAAACATCCCCAAGTATATATGAGATAAAGTTTCATACTCTTTGAAGGAAGAATATGGTAGTTGCCCCACCACTCCCAAGCCTGATCACTTCCTGAGAAACCTGATAACATCTAAGCTGGTCATATCAAAGACCAGACCAGACAATGGATCCTGATAAGGGTCTGAGCTTGGAAAAAAAAGGTGCTAAAACCTGACTTAATTAACATGTCTAATTCCGAGAAAAACCATCTTAGTTCTCCCCAGGACCCAGATAAAAAGGAACACCCCCCCCCCCAAATTGCCTGTGCACCACTTGGATCCTGTCTGCATGCCATGCTGCTGGGTCTCTTGGCATTCCTCTCAGACCAGGCAATAAAGGACTCTTCTTTCTTGGGACCAGTTCCTTCCTTTATTTCTCTCCCTCGCATCCTCGCACTCCTTTTTATATCTAACACTCTTTACTTCTAAGGAACACTCTGGCAGCATTTCTTTCAGGATAGATTTGCTTCTTCTTTTAGCAGTCCCTAGTATATTCAATACTCTGTGCCAATACTGGACAGAAAGACTAGTAATGGGCATGTGTTATAGATTTGAACTGTAGTTCCCAAACAGAAACATGGAAGTCCTAACCCTTGTACCTAAGAAATATAACTTTATGTGGAAATAAAAATTTTCCTTTTTTATATTAAGGAGGTC